TGGCTAGCCCCATAGAGGCCTGCTGTCTTCAGCCCCAGATTCTTCATCTTCTTGGACTCTCGTTTTCCTCTTTTTTAGTAATGTTTTTTAAATTTTGACGTTTTATGTATTTATAGGTATTTATGGTTTTAATGTTTTGTGTGAGTCGCCCAGAATCCCCCATTGGGGAAAGATGGGTGGGGGAGAAATTTAATAAATAAATAAACAAACAAACCAGATTGAATTTAACCAAACAATTAGAGGAATGTAAACACCTGGAGGAAGTGCACAATACATAGCTTGATAATCAGTCTGACAGTATATATGGTTTATTGGAAAGGATTCTTAAAAGTCTTAATTGGGCCATGTTGTTACTTACTGAATTTGTTAATTTCTTGGAAAGGCTTATAATGCTAGTACTTTATCTTGGGCCTGACCTTTTAAGTCAATGATACCCATTCAGAAATTATTGTAGTATTTCCCCTGCTGCCTTGTTATATTTTCTTGTAGTTTCTTGAAGAACTTAAAAAGCAATATTTGGAGAAGGTCGAACGTTACAGAAGTATCGCTGCTCTGAGTGAAATGCAGAATGAGCTAAAAGAATTGCAGCATCAAATAGCTTGGAGAATGGTAATTGCTTATCATCTGCAATATTCTGTAAATGAATTTAATTTGATTATAATGTTTTGTGAATGATTTTAATTTTGACTTTATATTTTAGGTACAAGATACTGAAAATAAAATAAAAGAATTCAGTGTTAATGTTACTGCCCAAGAAACAAGTACTGAGAAATTTGTTGAGCAAGTGAAAGAATGGCAGGTATATATATTTGTTGCAAAGTTTGCCATGAAATGCTGGGTTCTGTTGTTCCATTGAAACATTAAGATTAATTTTTAAAATATTATTATTAGAAATTGCCAAAATCTGTAGAATTGCCTTTATGTTGTCACTAATTTGTCACTTCTCAGGAAAGTCTTCAGGTTATGATCTAGAAGACTACAAAAATTAAAAACAACTGACCTGTCATATGCAGGATTACACAAATACTCTTACTATTGACCTATTTTGTCATCTAGCTAAATGAAAGCTAATTATGGAATAATATTTTTATAAGTAAAATAATTTTTTTTGCACATAGAAGGTTGAAGAATTGAACATCTAGATCTCTTAATTTGAGTTCTTTTAAATAGGATCTGTAAAAAGATTCTCTTTTGTTATGTGAATTAATAGAAGTTATGGAAAACAGAGTCCAGGGCTTGTGTATTGTAGCATTTAACCATCTAATGACTTAGCTTATATGTAATACTTAACAAAACAAATTGAGATGAACATTACTTCTAAACAGATGTCAAAGCTTCTTCCTTCTGGAAACAGAGCTATATTTAAATCATGTCTATAATCTGTCTTACTTTTCATGCAGGTACCTGAGCATAATAGGCAGAAAACTATTCAGTTGATCAGATTAAGGACAGAAGTGTAGGTGCATAGTACATTTTTTCAGATTTAGTAGATTAGAAATTTCATATTGATTGCTTGCCAGAAGGAGCAGTGGGGGACTACTACTTTCTCTGTCTAAAGAGGGCTCAAAGATGAAAACACCCATATGTTAAGATGACTGTTGTTTACACTAGTTTCAGCCCATAATGTTCATACTTCAATATTCATGACAGGTGAATGAGGTCTGAAATATATTGGAAAGCAAGATACAATTGAGATTACATTCTTCAAAGTGTTTTTATCTTGTAACATTCCAAACAATGTAGCCATGTTAACCTACCTCATTACCTTCTGATGGATTTGAATTTCAATAACTTTTTGGTGTCATTATTCTCAACACTTTATGACATTTGTTTTTCAGACTAAAGTAGATGCAGCAGAAGTTAAACATCGAACTGTGCAAGACAAATTAGAGAAGATAACAGAAGCAGCTCAAACTCTAGGACCGTCATGTATTGTTTTGAAAACAGAAATACAGGCAAAAAGAAAAGCATACCATGATGCAGAGGTTTGAATTTTCCATCCACAGCCTTAAAGTGCTCTAAATACAGAGTTGCCTCACAGTAATGTAAACTTAAATAAACTCTTATATTTTGTGAACTCAGATGTGTAGATTATGTCACTGCTGATGTGGAGGCAAAAGTGGATAAGGCATGAACAGAAAAAGTGAGACACATGGTCTAGCAGAATATAATTTCAAAAAAGGTTTTGTAGGACCTTTCCACTATCTAAAATGTAGGTCAGTATGTACTGTAATTGTGCTCAAGCCACTTTTAACACAGACCTCTTTTTCTTGTCCAGGCAGCACATAATAGGTTTCAAGCTGAACTGAAGCATTTGCAAAAAGAACATGAACAACTTTGCAAACACAAAATTGAAGAACTGAAAAATAGGTGATACTTCTTTTTTTCTAATTACGTTATATATTAGAAAAAGAATGGTTCTTTAAAAGTGTGATGGTTTTCCATTGAAATGTGTAATGTAAAGAAAAAGAATCAAATCTTTTAATGATACTATTTTGCTAGTGGTGGAATTACATCCATCAGCAGAACAGTTATTCCTCCCTCCCTCCATTTTTCACTTTTACCCTTCCAAATCTGCTCTATTCAAAAACAGATTTGGGGATAGGTGAGGTAGGGAGAATGACTCAAAATCTACATCTATTATTCCTCTTCCAGTTACAGTTATCTATAGTTGCAAGAAAGAGTATGTGAACCTTTTGGAATTTCATGGTGTTCTGTATTAATT